GGCAAATATATATAAATATTTTATATTTATAATATTTTATAAAACAAAAGTTGCCTTTGTCCTTTTTTATTCCCTAATTGTTTGAAATCTTTGGGTGTGTCCACACCTTTCGACAGACTCTGCTGACTCTGTGCAGTCACACATTTAATGAACTGTTCAGGGATTTCCCCTCCTAACTGGCAGGACCCGCCTGCCCTTGCTGAAATTAAAACAGACGAGCAACACTTTGCTTCACGGAACTCTGGAGAAGTTCGTAAACTGAATGAATAAAATATAAGGCTTATTGGCGATGAGGTCCCCCCCCCCTTTTTTTTTCCAAGTATTTATGATGAGGACTTGCCTGTCAATGGCCGGGCTTGGTGAGTCGCTGCTCAGAATGGTAAGCTGCAAAGCACTGCTACAGAAAATATGATGCTTGGTTGGTTGTTACTGTTTGAATTTTCAATTTGCTGCAGTTGTACTGGTATATTTATGTATTTATTTATTCATTCATTCATTCATTCAGTTCTTTATTTGAGGAATTCATATATGCAGAATAGGATGCATTTAAATTGGGAAAAAAAAATTCTACCCTAAAAAAATGAAGCGGTTCGGTGCCATGGAAAATTGCACGACCGTTTTTCAGTATTGTGCAAGTGTTTCAGTCCCCCATGTCAGTCCCCTGACATGAGCTTAAATGGCCAATATCTATGGTTTTAAAATATTTTATAATAATTTTCAGGATGATATATGGGGAGTGGCGAGAAACAGACACAAGGCCTCGGCGTCAGCCGAGTGTGACCGCGGTATAATTCTCCGCTGAAATCATTTAATGGCTCTACGGAGAGACAGGGCAGAAGTGGCAGATCAATTGCCCTGCAAGCCTCCTTCATAAACGGATCTGTGATGACTGTAGCGGGACCAGGCCTGGGGCTGCGAGCACGTCTCTGTCTGTTTTTATATGCATTGTTTTCTTACCAAAGCCTCTGATCGAATTCTGGACTTACAGTCTGTCATCCTCGCCATATGAGATATGAATGGTACGAAACTTGGCATTATTTTTTTTAGCACGCTTTTCCTCAAATTGTAGTCCTTGAGGACCAAGATCTGCTGGTTTTCTACCCTCCGTTGACCTGGAAGTCAGGTGTAAAGACGGCCTGGTCGATTTGAAGTGATAATCGTTCACTTAATTGTCCAGAAGGAAAGAGAACAACGGCTGGATTAGGATTTTAGGGCCAGAGGGGATCTCTGTTTTAGTGGGTAACGGGGAACTTGCTCATCTGTTGCTGATCATTTGAGTCTGATTTTGTGGCTGGTTTTAAGATTGAGGGTGGGGTGGGGGGGGGGGGGGGGGGGCATCACCTTCTTCTGGATCACATCACTTCCAAACCCACAGATAGGAAGGAGGAGATACAGCAGTGGTCAACTGCTCTGTTCCTGCAGATATTCACTCCAACCTCAACAAGGCACACCTCATTCAACAGCTAGAGCAGGGCTGCCCAACCCTGTTCCTGGAGACTCTACTGCCCAATAAGTTTTCGCTGCAACCTTCAAAGCACACCTCACTCGACTGCTAGTGCCAGGCTGCCCATCCTTGTTGCTAGAGATCTACCATCCTGTAGGTTTTCACTCCAACCCTAACAAAGCACATCTCATTCAACAGCTAGAGCAGGGCTGCCCAACCCTGTTCCTGAAGATCTACTGTTCTGTAGGTTTTCGCTCTAACCGTGACAAACCATTGATTGATAACTTGACCATTTATTCATCACTGAACTATCAGATAAAGGAAGGCAACCAGAGATACCATTGGCCTCTTGGCCCAGCTTTAAGTTTTCCTGCTGTAATGGTTATGCAGGAATGAACTCAATTTCAAAATCTCCTCTGCCTTGGTTGCTCATCTAAATTGTAATCGGCCCGTTATTTGCAGTTGAATTCTGAGGTGATCACATTGCCGGAACTTACTGTATTCAAGTCACAGAGAAAAAGGTTGCTGCTGTAATCTTGAACTGAAAAATTGGTTCCAGGGAGTAAAGGCATGATGCTTCTTTTAATGAAGAGTGTGCTCTGATTGATGATATTCTCTTTAAATTACCATACAAGTCTACTACATTGGTTTCAATACTATATCAGTGAGTGCTGTTCCCCCTAGAATGAAATCATCAGGGTGTTACACAGTCCTAGCGGAAGACGGTGTTTGATGGCTTTTGGTCCAGCTGTGATTGGAATCCCAGAATTCAAACACACAATTCATTTTTTTAAAATCAGCATTTATTATTTAGCAGGGCTATTTACCATCTTAAAGCTACTTTCACACCGGACGCATAAATTTTTGGCACGACAGATTACATTCAAAGTCAATGCAAAGACGCGATTCGCGTCTTTGCATTGACTTTGAATGTAATCTGTCGTGCCAAAAATTTGTTTCGCGTCCGGTGTGAAAGCGGCTTAAGATGGGTTGTCATATGTGCGTGTTACTTGGTGGCTACAAATGCCTCATTTAGTTTCAAATCAAAATCTGCCTTAATTTCAGTCGGACATTGTCAGGAGATGCCGAAAACAGAGACCTTGCACCACAATGTTTATTTTCTGGTTTAGCATGCAGTTTAAAGCAGACACTCAATAAAGTGATTATGTTCAGTTAGAAGGGCGAGCAGGGGGAACTTGTCCCTTGCATCTGCAAAGAAAATGCTGAAAAAATGGGCAAGAGGAATCTGGAAAGCGAATGACTGGCCAAAAAAAAAATAAACAGATAAGCAAGCTCTTTCTTTTAAATTGTTATAATATTTTCGAATTCCTCCGCTATAAATCACAAAAGAATCTGTTACCTTGGAGCAAACATGCACGGAAAAGTGTTCAGAGTTAATTTGACTCTGCAGAATTACATAACTCTCACAGAGCCTATTTGATTTAATTCTTGCTAGAGAGGAACCAGATACGTGGAATCTTTGAGAGTTGATTTCTGCCATTCCTATAACTTACAGGATCAAATTATCAGAAACACCGGCATAAATATCAGCTCTGTGAAGCTCACAAGGCGCTGTTTTTGTTGACACTGGTTCAGATATGGATTGATTCAGTTCTGTGATGATTTTAAGGCCGTATTTTCACTTCAAGCTTTTGAAACTGAGTTAGCCTCCAACTCTATATTAAAATCTATAACCCCTTTTTCGTAGGAACACAGCCTTAGAACTACAGTTCTCCGGTTATTGGCAGCTATCCAACCATGAGTACGTGTGAGTATGTTGTCCTTGTAAAAAGCTTTGAATTACAGCCTCTACTTTTTTGCTGTCTGGTATATGCTGCCATTGTTCCTCTATCCACCTTAATTCTATATATATATATATATATATATATATATATATATATATATAGAATATATACTTCTAGAATATGATGTGTTAATGACTGACCTGTGCATCTACTATATGCCACACCTGCAACTGATACTGCTCAGCGCTAATATTCAAAGGAGCAGGAGTATTCTGTTTGGTTAATTCACCTTCCGAGGCTCATGTCTTCGCTTATTTTCCTGGCGTCTTTCCATTGGAGGTATCTAAGTCAGTGTTCCCCAATCCTGTTCCTGTCGGTTTTTGCTCCAGCCCTAATTTAGCACATCTGATTCGGCAAAGCAGCAGCTCGCCAAGATCTCTAGCTGGGAAATGAGGTGTGCTTTGCTTTAGGCCGAGTATAAACCTCCATAAACAGGGTTTGAGACCACTGATCTAAATTCTCTAAAGAGCAAGGAACTTTCATCAGTAACAGACAAACAGGTTGGCTGGTAGCCATGACAAGATTGCCCAAATTGTCTATTTTATGAAGAAATGAGGCAATTAGCTCCTTTGTTACCACATTCCAGCCTGGGGATATGGATCGGATATGTCATTCAATGTGTTTTTCCAGCTGGATTAGTCATGTCATTACCAATCACCATCGAGCTCTTGACATATTAAAGGAAAGGAAAAGCGGAGAGGAAAGGACTAAGGATGCCTGTTTAAGAGCTTTCAGATGCAGTCCTCTTTTCCCCAATGGGTGGAACTGAGAGCTAGAAAAGGAAGGATGTGAAATATTATCTATTGTAATGAGTCCTCACCCCCAAGGGTTAACCAGCTTCCTTCTTTTTTTGTCCTGCTGATTTTATCATGTCTCGCATTTTCTGCATGATAAAATCGAATCAGTGGCCATTGATTATTAAAATATAACTCAGTGGATTTTTATTTAAACAGTGCCTGTGCTGCAGAATGATACAGTGATGTTATTCTATGATCTAATGGATTTTTTTTTTTTTTTGAAGCTTTTAGAGTCTTCTCTCTTAGATTTGTAGGCATTTCTGAAAGCCAGACGAGACTCGGATAAAGTTCCCATATTTTTAGTTTTCTCACTCTTGGATGGAGGGATAGAACATTTTTGATGCGGACAAACAGAATTGACGGCAAACTGAAAAACACCATCTGGAAATAAGAGACTTGCAGCTTTTTGTGTAGAAGCAAATGTCTAGTACCTTTCATTAAACTTGCAGGGATGAAGTCTTTTTTTCTTATTCTAAGTTTTTTTTTTAAATTATTTTTTGATTCTTTTAAAGGTATACTTTATTAACCCCGTGGGGTAATTTGTCTGCAGCATTTGACCCATCCTAGTTACTTAGGAGCAGTGGGCAGCCACAGTACAGCACGCAGGGACTAACTCCAGTTCTAAAGACAGAGCCTTGGACAGGGGCACTGGTAGCAGTGTTCCTATAGAGCGTTTCGTCCCATGAATAACAAAAGGTCGCAAGTGACATTCCTGATGCAACCTGTTTTTCTGCACCACGAAGTACAATAGCGGCTGTTTTTCTGTTTTTCTGCACGATGAAGTACAGCCGCTGTAGTACTTTGTGGTGCAGAAAAACAGGTTTCATCAGGAATGTCACTTGCGACCTTTTGTTATTCATGGGACGATGTCTGTAAGGGTGGGGGAAACTGGAGTACCCTGAGCAAACCCAGGTGAACATGAGGAGAACATGCAAACTTTAAGCAAAGAGGTCCTGGCCAGCTGGGATGTGAACCCAGAACCTCCTCCCTATGGGGCAACAGCGCTGACCACTGCACCATCGTGCCACCAGTTCAATGCTATTCGGTAAATGCCGCTGTACCACTTTATATGAATATCATCATACCTTGATTGGCATACCTTGAATTGATTATAGTTTCAAAGTAGCATATCTCAGTTATTTGATGGACAATGACATTGTTGTAATGGACCCATTTTTAGAATTTCATTTATTTATTTATTTATTTTTTGGAATAATGGACTAGGCTGCAACAGGTGAGCCAGTATGGGTTGCCAGGTTTTCAGTTTCTGAAGGAATGTCCAATTTGTGTTGACGCCAAGTACTTGGACTGTGGGAAAACTATTGCACATTGAATTTGAACAAAATGAATACAAAGAGGAGGCTGTCGGTTCTAAATTTTTCGTACAGTTCTGTCTTCTGGTTCTGAAAGCTCTATATAAAGTCCAGTCTGGGTGATTCATTGACAAAAAAAAAAAATAAATATAAATAAATAAATAAATAAATAAATAAATGTGATTAATACTTATAGTTTCAAATTAATTCCTCTTCCCCTATCCAGCCTGTAGGTGTAATTTCAGACACGGTTACAAGGAGCACCTGTAGATTATGGTTTATTTTTCAGAGAAGAGTCCAAAAGTATCTGGACAGCGCTTGTTTTCTGGGCTTTGTATTCCCACACTTCTGATTTTAATACAGTGACTACAAGGTTTAATTAGAAACTGACAGCATTAATTATTTATATTCATATTGCGTGAACCATACACAGGCAAAATCCCTGTTACAGATGGCCATGATAAAAATTTAATATGGACTCGCCAGAACTTACAGTAGGCTACACCATCTCCCCTCCCTCCATTGATATTATGTATGAATTGACCATGTATGAATTTCAGTACTTTCCCATACAGTATCACTGCCCCAGTACTTACAAAGTGCCTTGTATTTACTCATACAAATGCAGTTTGACGCTCCGTCATTTCCCGCCCGCTGGTGGTATAATTGCCAGAGGCTGATTTTTAATGCGAAATATGAAAGGTCATCACCGGGCAGAGAGAGGGGCAAATATATGATCCAGCAATTTGGATTTGGGTTGCTGTGTTTCCAAATCCTGAGTGATGCTGACAATATGAAATCCACCCTGCGATTTCTTAAAGAAAGCCGTTTAAGAAATGCGCCTCTGATTCGGCCACAGATCTGTGTGACAGGGGAACAGGAGGACAGTCATGGAGTGCAAAAGTATCTCTGATATTATTTTAAGACATAAGCCAATGCTTTCCCCGTTCACTGTCAAGTCCAGCTGCCAGTGGTGAATAATGATAATGTCACTTTTACCGAGAGCACCCTTTCATACTTCTGTCAAACTGATGCTCTGACACCATTGGTCAAAATGAAGTTTACTGGCTGATGTGCGCATGAGTGTGTGAGAACGTGTGTAGGGGATGGTGTACAGTTTGTGATGCGGGGCATAGTGCATTTGTGTGTAATTGTGTATAATGTGGGCTGGGTCTAACGTGCATGTGTGCATGAGAGTGTGTGTGAGTGTATGTATGTATGTGTGTGTAATATATGTGAGTGTATGTATCTATGTATGTATGTGGACATGTGTGTGTATATATATATGTATGTATGTATGTATGTATATATGCACAATATATGTGTGTATATGTATCTTTGTATGTATGTGGACATGAGTGTGCGTGTGTGTGTCTGTGTATGTATGTATGTATGTACAATACATGAGTGCATATGTATTTTTGTATGTATGTGGACATGAGTGTGTGTGTGTTTGTGTGTGTGTGTGCGTGAGAGTGTGCGTGTGTGTGTGTGTGTGTGTGTACACACGTGCGCATGTCTTTGTTGGGGGTACAGAGCAGCCTGCAGTTAGACTCCCTCTGTAAGCATTTTGAAGTCCTTCACACGGGCCCAGTCCTTTTGTGTTGAAAGCACAGCACCAAACTCAAAGTCCCGCTGTGTCTGTGCAGCACCCCCCTGCCCCTCACTCGCAGTCCCCAGTGTGCGGTCTAATGAGACCCAGCTCTCTGAACGAGATCCTGCAGCCTTTGAAGACATCAACGGGGAGCATCAGAGTTAGTAAGACAGATACAGCTCAGGCAATAAGCAGGCAACTCTCTGTCTAATGAAGTCTGTAGGTGGCGGGTTTCTCATCGAGCGGCCTGCTTATGTGTGTGTGTGTGCGTGTGTGTGTGTGTGTGTGTGTGTGTGTTAAAGACCCCATGCCGTCAAAATCCTCCTGTTTTCTTTAGTCACGACACAAAAGGAATGAAATAAAACAAATACTGTGATTTTAAGCAAGGTTGTACTACCCGGCAGGAAGTTTTTCCCTTGCCACCGTCGCCCTAGGCTTGCTCTTGTGTGGGTTTAAAACCAGAGCTCTCAGTGAGGAGGGCTGTGATGAAACTTTGCGAAACTCATTACACAAATATTATTTGATTTGAACTGACACGCCTCTGATGTTAAGCCTAATATAATCAGAATTCGTAAAATGTAGGGCACATTTTTAGTGCTTTTTACAGCCCTGAATACTTAGGTAAGAAAATTCTTATACCACCCAGGAAAGGACAGCTCGGTATTGGTCATTTTTAGTCTTTGTTTATATGACTCTTTGATGAATTGCAGAGCCTTGTGCTAAAAGGACTGAGGTCACGTTTCTAGACACCGTGAGGTAAGGATGGGAAAACGTATTTTATACTTGTAGTTATCCAAGTCGATTTTCTCAAAATGGACACTTTGTGACTTCAGATTTTTTAGTCCGAAAGCTGCTTTGCCCGTTTACGGATTAAATTGGATGTCCTTGCCATAAGGTGATTTGCCTCACGGTTTCCATGGTATTTCCACTAACTTTGTCAGTGTACCATCAGGAAAGGTCCCATCTGTTGCTTGTAGAAAAAGCTTGCAAAACCCAAAGGAGAAGTTTGTCAGCCATATTGTCAATCTGTACTGATCCATCTGTTCTTGTCAACTGACATCGTACCGGCACTTTGGTCACTGGGATGAAAAGAAACAAGATTTAAAAAAAAAAAATCTCTGATTCGAGCCCAGAGGGAGAGCAAGAAAGCAAGAGAGAAAAAAAAAACTTGATGTTCACACTTCTCAACTTGTTATTCTGGCCCATTACAGTAAAGTGGAAAGTTCACCACGGTAACAAGTCTATTTTTTACTTGTCCTTCGTTTAGTCGGTAAAAAGCAAATGGCTGAAAGCTTCACAGTTTCCAAATACACCTACACACAGTTTCCCATCAATCTGAATTAATTTTTTTGTCGCATCACCTCAGTGTTTTGAATATGGTAGGTATGGCAAATTCTTTGCATTATGAAGGGGTCTATTGTTTCTAACTCAGGGGAAATCTCAAAATCCTACTTGCCTGGCACATACTGTGTTGTATCAGTTCTCTCTCTGGATTTAACCTTTTAGAGCGGTCCGTCACACAGGCCCTTTTTGGATGTAAGGGTAACACGGATAAAACATGCTAACTTTCGGACTACGCATTGCTGCAAGATATTCTGAATACTGACAGTAACATGGCTTCGCCGGCTTTCAGTTTGATGTACTCTAATTTTGATCGGAGACTCCTCTGCTGCCTTGCCTTCCCGAGGCTTTGAGAGACGTGCCTGGCCTCATTCCCGTCCTCCCTCAGGACCGCGTAAACCAGGTCTGCCGTGCGATTCGTGTTCATCTGCCAGTCTGTCTCAACAACTCCATGCTGCTTTACACCCACAGAGCAAATTAACAGCTAATCCCTCAAAACTTATCGCATCATCAATATTGCTGTGTCATTGGGGGGATCACGCTGGAGAATGGAGATCCACCGGGGCCAAGCACTTAAATAAGTGAGATGTGTGTATTAGACTTCATAACCCAATAATAGCATTTTTTTTCTGGAAAGACACCATTACTGACAAAATACAAAATAGTTAAATGGGGAAAGAACTTCAGATCTCTTTTTACAAATCTTCCTTTAATCGCTGACGGATCTCCAAACACACTAGGAGTAATGTTTGTCAAAACATATGTCTTAAGAATATTGCGTAGGAGATATTTTAAGTGTTTTCATAAATGCTACACTGTCTAATGCAGTTCTGTCCTGTCTACTGAACAGCAACAAAATGAAGATGCCCCCCCGGTCGACAAAATAAACGCGAAATACATTTTTTGTGCGTGCCCCCTCATCAAACTGTTGTGCCCCCCTTGTGCCCCCCCCAGAATAAAAAGTCTGGTGATGCCACTGCTACTGAAGAATACCCAACATTTTATGAATATAACTTTGTGCTTTACCTTTGTGACAAATAAGGTCTGCAGCAGATTCACTAGCGCAAGGTTAAATTCTAATCAGAGTCCTCATTATTAGGACTAAACGTGACTCTGAATAAAACCCTTGCAGAATAATGAGTCTTAGTTTTAGGTTAAAACAGACGCCTGCACGCATACCAGACCTTACCAGATGAGACTGGACGTCTTCGCTATAATCAGCGCTCTGAATAATAGTGGTTTCTGGGGCAGCTCAGCATGTGTCTTGTCCTTTCTGACCAAAAAGGACTGGGAGCTTTAGCTATACTAACACAAAGAAAATACCCCAAGGCTACTTCGCCCTCTTGTAGTTTTAACAGGAATATGGGTTTTAATCACATTTTTGAAAAAGTTTTTTCCTCATGATCAAGCTGATGTGCTGCCGAGGAGAAATTTCCAGAAACTGCGAGTAAGAAAAATCCAAAATCAGTATTTGAGCTGCAGAGAGGAACCTATTTTGAAATCAGATGCCAAACCAGACAAAAAGCTGGAAAATATTGTTGAATAAAGTATGATTGTTTGTGTGGATGTACATGCTCATGAGTTATGAGCAAGCGTCAGCAGTCTGTAAAAACGTAGAAAAACACACAAAAAAAAACACCCCAATTTTTTTTTGTGGATGTTTCTAGGACAGCGCTGTCGGGGTCTTCTTTATAACCTAAGAGACCATGAGAATTGGAAAGAGGCAACAGCAAATGAGGACTTGTGATGGTCATGGAAAAAAATCGGATTCATCTGCT